CAGCTGAGGACAAAGCATAAGCTGACACCCTGCAAACTGCCCCCCACCCCCCACTCCTGGGTGGGAAATGTGTGACATTCCTCCAGGAAGCTCCCAACTATCTGAATTTTTTTTTTTTTTAAGATTTTATTTATTTATTTGACAGAGAGAGAGAACACAAGTAGGCAGAGTGGCAGGCAGAGAGAGAGGGAGAAGAGAAGCAGGCTCCCCGCTGAGCAGGGAGCCCGATGTGGGGCTTGATCCCAGGACCCTGGGATCATGACCTGAGCTAAAGGCAGACGCTTAACCCACTGAGCCACCCAGGCGCCCCTCCCAACTATCTTAATGTTAATGCCTTACAAGAGGGGAAAACCTTAACTTGACAATGGCAAGGCCTCCAGTCTCTTGTAGGTCCTCTTTAGCATATGAAAGTTCTTTTGAAAATCTCCCTTTTCCCTTACCCCCCCCCAACTCCAAGTCACCCCCACAACCCCGGTGCAGCAGCTCTTTCCTGTCCTTTAATAAAACCACCATTTTGCACCAAAGACATCTTGAGAATTCTTTCTTGGCTGTCGGCTCTGGACCTCAGCCCACCAAACCTCACCGACATTATAAAACTACGTAAGTAGTTACCTTTTGGGAAGAGAGGGAGAGCAATCATTGGGAGGGCCCCTGAGGTCCGGGCCAATTCTGGCATGTTGGCAATATTTTATTTCTTGATATGGGCTAAAGTTACATGAGGGTGTTCACTTTGTGATAAGTCTGAAAGGAAAAGCACCATTTCCTCTCTATACTCAATACTTCTGACACCAAATGTATGGGATTTTCCACACCAAGAAATTCTCCAGTTCTTGGAAGACACTGGCGAGGTGTCCTACAATTTAATGCAATTCTAAAACTAACTCCCAAGATTTAGCGCAGACCCTGCAAGTTAGTCCCACAAGACTGTCCCCACTTCAGAAACCAATCAGAAGTCCCAAGTTGTCACAAGCACTTCTGATTGACTATAAATCAGAAGTTCCCATTATCCTCTCCTCAAACTTGATGATTTGTTAGAATGGCTCACAGAACCCAGGGAAACAGTTTAGTCATTATTACTGATTTATTACAAAAGATATATTAGGGGTACCTGGGTGGCTCAGTCGTTGGGCATCTGCCTTCGGCTCAGGTCGTGATCCCAGGGTCCTGGGAGCAAGCCCCACATCGGGCTCCCTGCTCAGCGGGAAGCCTGCTTCTCCCTCTCCCACTACCCCTGCTTGTGTTCCCTCTCTCTCTGTCAAATAAATAAATAAAGTCTTTAAAAAAATAAAAATAAATGAAAAATCAAATTCACTAGTTAAAAAATAAAGATGAGCCTAGCAGACAAGATCAGGAAATAACAAAAGTTTGGACAGATAAAAGGCAATCGGGCAATCAAGGATGGAGTGATCGGCAGGTATTGCTTAGGTCTACACAGACAAAAGGCAGTCAGTGGGGGGTACCTGGGTGGCTCAGTCAGTTAAGCGTCTGCCTTCAGCTCAGGTAATGACCTGAGACCCCAGAGCAGAACTTTTTACTCTTTGCCCTGCTTTAAACATTCTTCTGGGGACAGGGTTCCACAATGCCTTATTCTGAGTGAGCAGAAGACAGAGATACCAGCTTAAATCAGAGTCTCCACCATTCTCTCCTTCCTTCTCTGTTTTATTTCCTTGTCAAGGTTCTGGCCACTGACCTACCCATAAGAAAACAAATGAAGGGCTTCAGAAGAAACCTCAGCAAAGAGGAACTTGATATATAAAGTATCCTTCACTGAACTGTTAATGCCTTAAGAACAGAAGCCCAAGGGGTGCCTGGGTGGTTCAGTCAGTTAAGCATCCACCTTTGGCTCAGGTCAAGATCCCAGGGTCATGGGATCGAATCCCACATCGCGCTCCCTGCTCAGTGGGGAGTCCGCTTCTCCCTCTGCCTGCAGCTCCTCTTGCTTGTGTTCTTTCTCTCTCTCTGTCAAATAAATAAATTTTTAAAAAACAAAAGTACAGAAGCCCAAATAAAAAAGGCGTAATCAATAAGGCAAAGTTACTCCTTACAATAAGCACACTAGCAATGGAATTATTCTAGGGGAGGTAAATTTGGGACAGGTTTCTGGTTTTGGGGTTTTTTTTTCTTACCCTTTTAGCAGCCTCTCCCTATTTCCCCCACTCCCCACTGATGAGGGAGTAAAAGGCTAGCTGAAGACAAAGTATAAGTTGACACCCGGCAGCCTACACCCACCCCCCACTCCTGGGTGGGACGTGTGTGACATTCTTCCAGGAATCTCCCAACTATCTTTTTTTTTTTTTTTAAAGATTTTATTTATTTATTTGAGAGAGAGAGTGAGCACGAGAAGGGGGAGCGGGAGAGGGAGAAGCAGACTCCTCACTGAGCAGGGAGCCCGATGCGGGACTCGATCCCGGGACTCCAGGATCATGACCTGAGCTGAAGGCACTCGCCCAACCAACTGAGCCACCCAGGCGCCCTCTCCCAACTATCTTAATGTTAATACCTTGCTAGAGGGGAAAACAACCTTAACCTGACAATGGCAAGGCCTCTGGTATCTTGTAGGTCGGTCCTCTTTGGCAAGGCCTCTGGTATCTTGTAGGTCGGTCCTCTTTGGCAAGGCCTCTGGTATCTTGTAGGTCGGTCCTCTTTGGCAAGGCCTCTGGTATCTTGTAGGTCGGTCCTCTTTGGCATATGAAAGTTGTTTTGAAAACCTCCCTTTTCCTTACCTCCCCCAACCCCATAGTATATTATCAGTCACCCCTCACAACCCCGGTGCTGCAGCTCTTTCTGCCCATGGGTCCTGTCCCCATGCTTTAATAAAACCACCATTTTGCACCAAAGACGTCTCAAAATTCTTTCTTGCTCATCAGCTCTGGACCTCACCCCGCCGAACCTCACCTATATTTCAAAACCACATCACCCACCCCTGGCAACCACTTTTCTACTTTCTGTTTCTGAGTTTCACTTTTTATTTGGATTCCACATATGTGATACTCTGCAGTATTTGTTTTTCTCTGTTGGGCTTTTTCATTTAGCATAATGCCCTCAAGGTCCATCCATGTTGAAACAACAGCAGGATTTCCTTCTTTCTGGACAGTTAGGTTATTTCCATATCTTGGCTATTGTGAGTAATGCTGCAAGGAACATCAGAGTGCAGATACCTCTTCAACATCCTCTTTTCAATTTTTTTTTTAATATATCCCCTGAAATGGGATTGCTGGATCATATGATTTCCAGTTCTAATTTTTTGAGGAACTTTCATACTACTTTGCGTTGTGAAAGGTTCTTTTCATCTGTCTGCTCTGCTGTCCTGGCTTGTTCTCTGTGGCTGGTTCCCCTCACGGTCATAAAAGGGTGATTGCTGCAGTACCAGGCATTACATGAAGATTCAACAATAGGAGGGATGAAGAGAGACCATTTCTACTATGTGTGTGTGTTTTGCACCAGAAAAGCTTTCTTCCCAGTCACAAAAGAACAAATAGTATACAATTCCACTTATATGAGGACCTAGAGGACTTAAATTCATAGGGACAAAAAGTAGAATGGTAGTTTCCAGGACTGAGAGGGGAGAATGTGGAGTTGGTATTTAATGGGTATAGAATTTCAGCTGGGGAAGATGAAAATGTCCTGGAGAAGGATGGTGGTGGTGGTTGGGCAACAGGGTAAATGTTCTTAATGCCACAGAACCATACACTTAAAAATGGTAAAACGTGGCTGAGTTTTGTTTTGTTTTTTGTTTTAAGATTTTATTTATACAGGGGCACCTGAATGGCTCAGATTGTTAAGCATGTGCTTTCAGCTCAGGTCATGATGCCAGGGTCCTGGGATCGAGCCCCATGGTGGGCTCTCTGCTTCTCCCTCTCCCTCTGTTGCTCCCCCTGCTTGTGCTCTCTCTCTCTGTCAAACAAACAAACAAATAAATAAATATTAAGATTCTATTAGATTTTTTTTAATAAATAAAATTGTATTAAGATCTTATTAAATGTTGTTTTTTTCCTCACATGAATTTTTTGCTTAAGGCATATCCACCCATTGTTTCCTGACCGCACCATGTACCTTGCTTTGTGATTTTGCGCACATTACTCCAGTTGGTAATACCCTTCTCTATCTTCTCTGATAATCAGAGACTTACTTTTCCTTTAAGGCTAAGCCCAAATCCTACCTTCAATGTTAGCATTTCTCAATTACCCAAGGCTTTAGTGACTTACTCTCTCATCTATGATTTCTATGGTCTGTACCTATTTGGTGCACAACATTTTATATACATTTTCTTTTTAAGTATATGTCCTGTCTTCCCAATTAGACTTTAAACACATTGAATTCAGGGGTCCTGTTTTATGTCTGTGTTTATTTCCTTATTTATGTATTTATATATATACATATGTATGTATGAATGTATGTATCTATTTTTAGAGAGAGAGACAGCACGACAGAGAGAGGAGAATCTTAAGCAGGCTCCACACCCAGCACGGGGCTCAATCTCACGACCCCGAGATCATGACCTGAGCCGAAATCAAGAGTTGGACCTCTAACTGACTGAGCCACCCAGGCACCCCTGTCTGTTTTTATTTTCAATACTTAATCTAATACTAGAAACTCTCAATAAGTATTTATTAGTTTTATATTTTATATATATAAATATAATAAATTATATTTATTAGTTTCTAAGGATGATTAGATTTTTAGCATTGATACAATACATCATAGAAAGTCTGGGGATCTCTTTAAACCTAATTTAGGTTATAGTTGAATAATGAAGCTGTTAAAATTTGAGAGTAATATTTCCATCAAATTTAACCCTTGTATATAACCATATATACATTTATTGGAATACACACAGAGCCACGATTACATCTGATTGTTTTGCTATGTTGATGTACTATGGCTCATTTTACAAAAGCAAATATGTGCGTTCTAAGACACCTGTGCTCACAAGATGAGTTCTCTGGAACTATATTTGGATGTACAAGCTATTAAAAGCTTCTTGTACTGAGTGACCTTTCAGGCAGAATTAGATCAAATACTCATACTGCTGCTGCCTGTTGCTGAGTGGAAGACAGCAGAAAACCCTGGATTCAAACCTCCATTAGGTTTTTGTTTTCCTTGTTTGGTTTCCTTTCATTTTGCCTTAAGAAGATGAACAATGAGACCACAGCCCTGATATCCTTGAAGGAGGCAATGAAAAGGTTGCTAAGGGCTACAGGGAGGGAGCAAGCATTGCCTGCTTTTCTGGGAAGATGGGTAAGAGAAGAATAAAGAATAAAAATAGGCAAAGAACTATAGACATGCTAATTAGAATTCTGTCTCTGTTTAAAGTGGTTTAAGTCTTCCAGGTTAAAAATATATATAACTAAACAAGAAAGAAAAATTACTCCCAGGTGAATTCCATTCAATTAATGCATGTGCTATATTCTAGGTATACAAAATAAGTAAAATACGGTTTCTGTCCTCAAGGAGCTCAAAGCCTATATGGATAACAGAAGTATTCATAAATACTAGAATGTGATTGACCTTATGACCTTACGATGGTAATGTTCCTAAAGGGCTATGAGAACATGAAGAAAGGATCAATTAATTTTGCCTTTTATACTAGGAAAAGGAACACTTCACAGAGAGACATTTAAGCTGGACCTTAAAGTATGAGTAAAAAGTTATGAGAAAGAAAAATATGGGAAGGAATTCTGGAGTGAGGAAAAGTACTTGGAAGCCACAGAAGCCTGGAATCGTGTGCTGTGTTCAGTCAGCTGCTAGATGTCGCAAGTGGTTAGTGACTAGGATATGAGAGGACTGTCAGAAGAAGGGAGCAAAGGGCTAAGGGCTTTATGTTCATCCTCCTGAGGATATCCAATTTGGCTCTAACTGTATCAATGGACAACATAGATAATCAGTTGAGTTACATGAACAGAATTGTGTTTTAGAGGTATATTTCTAGGGATGCCTGGGTGGCTCAGCTGGTTAAGTGTCTGCCTTCAGCTTAGGTCATGATCCCAGGGTCCTGGGATCAAGCCCCATATTGGGCTCCCTGCTCAGTGGGAAGCCTACTTCTCCCTCTGCCTGATGCTTCCCCTGCTTGTGCTTTCTTTCTTCCTCTCTCTCTGACAAATAAATAAATTTTTTAAAAATCTTAAAAAAAAAGAAGCATATTTCTAGAGGATGGATTAGAAGTAGCAGAAATTGAAAGCAAGGATTCAGTTAGGCTACTATAATCCTAGGTCAAAGTGAAAATAGTTATTAACTGGTTTAGTGGTGATGGAGAGGAAGGGATAGTTTAGAGGCATTAATGGAGAGGAAGGAAAAAAAAGGTAAAAATTATTCTGAGATTTCTAGTTCAAGCAATTGAATAGATGGTGATATCACTAACTAAACTGGGGGATTGTAGTAGAAAGCAGACTTGGATTTGCAGACATGTTGTTTAGGATTTATTTGGAATGGTGTGGGAATGCCTTTTGGTGAGAGGCTTCCCAAAAACTGTTAATCATTGTGAACTTTTATACTGACTGACAAGCTAGAGTTTCCCTCCAGAGTTCAACCTAGAGATGACCTATAAGCAATATAGTCTTAAAGGTGTCAAAGTGAATACCAACAGTATGCCAGATGACATTGTTTCCACATGCAAACGGAGACTACTGCCATATTAGGTCCTGCAGGCTTACACTCCTACGAAACACCACACATTTCATAGAGGGCCTTATCTATATGTAAATAAAATATCCAAAACAGTGAGAAAATTCCACCATAGTAATTTCTGATGATTGGGGTGGTTGGGGGGGATAGTTAGCAGGTTCAGTTTAGGACAGTTGAGTTTGACGTCTCCATCCAGGTGGAGATGCACAAAACACAGTTAAAGATAACAGGTCTAGAGCTTAGGAGAGATGTGGTACCTGAAGCTGAATTAGCCTTGAGATAAAGTGAGGACCAAGAAGAAAAGATGGCCAAGGACAGAACCTGGGCAACTCTAAGAGTATTCAGGTCACTGGGGACTTGGAAGCTCAGGGAAGTGGTATGTGTATTTATCTATCACTTCTTTCATGAAAAACAATGTGGGGGTCTTCAGGCAAGTGAGTTGTGTTGTTTCAGTTCCCTGTGATTCAGTTTGACATAATTCTGGTGCCACAGCGCCCCCTGATGATTAAGGTTGTTCAGAGCTACCCCAAATGCCCATGTTGGGTTACACAGCTCAGCAACTCATTCACATCAGGGATGTGAATCAGATGAGACGTTATTTTATTACTTCTGTCTAAGGCCTTTGCTAGGTATTAGGGGACAGGTATAAAGATGTCTCAGAGGGGCGCCTGGGTGGCTCAGTCGGTTAAGCGGCTGCCTTCGGCTCAGGTCGTGATTCTGGAGTCCCAGGATCGAGTCCCGCATCGGGCTCCCTGCTCGGTGGGGACTCTGCTTCTCCCTCTGACTCTCCTCCCTCTCATGCTCTCTGTCTCTCATTCTCTCTCTCTCGCAAATAAATAAAATCTTAAAAAAAAAAAAAATTTTTTTTTAAAAGATGTCTCAGAAATAGTCTCTGATTCCCTCCCTCCAAAAGCTTACAATTTCATTCATGAAATGCTAACTCTAAAAATAAAGCTGGAGGTGGGGAGTGACAGGTAATGAAGGCAGTCCCTGTGAAAATTAAGTCGGCAGGGTGATCTCCAGGCAGAAAGGCTAGGGAATTCAAGCAAACAGTGGAAATGAGCTTATCCTGAAGGTAGGATAGAATTTGGGCAGTCAGAATAGAGAAATACACCTTATTAAATACTGGTCCCAGCACTAGCTAGCTATGACATTAGGTTTCAATCTTTTGGAGACTCAATTTCTTTATCTGTAAAGTTTATTTATTTTTTTTAGTAATCTCTACATCCATGTAGGGCTTGAACTCATGACCCCGAGATCAAGAGTCTCATGCTCTTCTGACTGAGCCAGCCAGGCACCCCTCAATTTCTTTATCTGTAAAATGATAAAAATGACTGCTTCATTTCTTATGGTTGTTGTGAGAATCAAAGTAATGCTTGTATTTAAAGTACTTCTTTTCAGGGTGCCTGAGTGGCTCAGTCGTTAAGCGCCTGCCTTCGGCTCAGGTCATGATCCCAGGGTCCTGGGATCGAGCCCTGCATCGAGCCCTGCATCGGGCTCCCTGCATCGGGCTCCCTGCTCGGTGGGAACCCTGCTTCTCCCTCCCCCACTCCCCCTGCTTGTGTTCCCTCTCTCACTGTGTCTCTCTCTGTCAAATAAATAAATAAATAATCTTAAAAAAAAAAAAAAAGTACTTCTTTTCTTAAAGTAGGCTCCATGCCCAATGTGGGGCTTGAACTCAAGACCCTGAGATTGAGAGTTGCAGGCTCCACTGACTCAGCCAGCCAGGTGCCCCTAAAATACTTTTGAAAATATAAAGTACAATAGAAAAATCAAGACATGGCAGATAATTCAAGTAATCAGACGATTAAAAGGTTTGGCAATATAAGGAATATAGGACGTAGGATGATGGTTAGAGCGAACGGCAAATAGGAACATCTGTTCATCATTTAAGTAGCTGCCCAAATTAATGGCGGTTATAAACAATGTATTAGAGCTTTACCTTAAGGCAAAACTAAGGTTTTGTCCCTTGTCCTAAAGTCCCGCTTGATTCTTTCATCCTATAGAGTAGACCACAAACTCCAAGCTTTAGAAGCACAGTTTAAAGAACTGGACTGCACCAAGGATGGTCTGACCCAGAGATTTGAAGAGCATAGCAAGGCTCTGGCAAGCCAGGCAGCCCAAGATGAGCTGTGGAGAGCAGTTCTGGCAACCAAGTGAGTATCCAGTGAGAAAGAGGTGGAATTATGTGGCTTTGTGAAAGCTTGCAGTGGTCATTCTAAACTTAAACTTCAATGGGTTGTGAAGAAATTATATTTTCAGAGGTCAATTCATTCAAAAAAGATTAATTTGAGCACCCATTGATTCACCAGTACTGCCATATACATCTCGTCACAGTGTCTCTCGTCTGACAGTGTCTTGCTAGCACAGAGATGGGTGACATAACTCCTCTGCTGTCGAGAAATGTGTAGTGTGAGGGGCCTGAGAACGAAGCTATCCCATGTAGCGCAGGCCCTATTCTAAAATATTTTCTAAAATACAACCGCTGGTTCTTCTCGTGGGTTGTATCCTGATAGAATTAGCTTTATGTTTGTACATAAGGAGTTCTACTGATTAAGAAGCTCTCCACATTTTTTGTAGATTCACTTCAATGGAACTGAATATTTTATACAGCTACGTCATCGAAGTACTCATCTGCTTGCACACTCGTGTGCTTGAGAAGCTGCCAGACCTGGTGCAAGGTCTTCCCACCTTAGCCTCTGTCCTGAAACGAAAAGTCAAGAACCAGCGCGTTAGAGTCATGTGGGAGTCTGTCCTGGAGGAGTGTGGGCTGCAAGAAGGAGATATCACAGCACTTTGTACCTTCTTTATTGCCCATGGTAACAAGGCAGAATACTATGGTGCTAAAGTGAGGCAGATGTATATCAGGGATGTCACTTTCCTGATCACTAACATGGTAAAGAACCAGGCTCTGCAGGATAGTTTGCTGAGGGCTGTGCAGGTCATTGGGAAGGGGAAAGCAGCGAGGTCCCCCGAAGAGCAAAAGTCATCCCTAAAAGAGTTGATGCCATCAGTCAGAAGCTAACTTTGATGACCAAGAGATTCTACTTCTAGCAGTTTATCTTGCAAATGGAGAAAAGAAGATGTATGTACAATTTATCACAGGCTTATTTTTATAGCAAAAGTGGGGGGAGCCTTAAACAAACTATGATAAATTGATACAATGGATACTTTCTGTGTAGCAATATAAGAGAATGAAGAAGTTCTTTGTGTAACTGTAAAATGATAAGGAGTTATTACCAAGATGTATTATTTTAAAATATTTCCTATATATTGTTAAGTAGAAAAAAGGGCAAAAACAAACACACACACACACACACACACACAAGCTAATATATCCATAAACTTCATAAGCTTCTTCTGGAGAGATACATTAGAAAGTAAGAACATTGGTTCTCTCAGGGAAAAAAATGAAGAGGCTAGGGGTCAAAGGTAGGAGGAATTCTTTTCACTGTTACTCCATTTTGTACATTTTGAATTTTGAACCATGTGAATGTACTATATACTAGAAGACAAAAAAACAATAAAAACACCTAATATATATTGTATGTTATGCACTTTCTCTCCAGTACACTACCATAGTTATTTTACACTGGAAAGGGAACTCTTACACATTGACTATATATTAAAGTATCTACTGGGGCGCCTGACTGGCTCAGTTGATAAAGCACATGATTCTTGATCTCAGGGTTGTAGGTTTAAGCCCCATAATGGATATAGAAATTACTTAAAAATAAAATCTTAAAAAAATTTTATTGAACACCAAATGCCATGTACTAGGTGCTGTGAATAACAGAAACATTTAAAAATGTGGACCCTGTCTTCCAGGTAAAGGTTAAGTGCTTATGCATTATTTGGGAGGTACAAATTCAGATTAACCAAAATGAGGTAACATTCTGGAAGGAGTTAGGTAGAGGATTCGAAGTAATACGATATGATGTATTACCTTGCTGGCCCTCTTTGAAAATGAGCCATGACACAGCAGCTTGCTTGGTAGATAAATGCACTCAGTCTTGGAGCATCTGGCTGGCTCAGCTGGTAGAGCATTAGACTCTTGCTCTCAAGGTTGTAAGTTTGAGCCCCATGTTGGGTGTAGAGATGACTTAAAAATAAAATCTTGAGGGGCGCCTGGGTGGCTCAGTCGGTTAAGCGGCTGCCTTCGGCTCAGGTCATGATCCCAGGATCCTGGGATTGAGCCCCGTGTTGGGCTCTCTGCTCAGCGGGGAGCCTGCTTCTCCCTCTGCTCCTCACCTTGCTCACTCTCTCTCACTCTCTCTCAAATAAACAAATAAATAATAAAAAATAAATAAAATCTTGAAAAAAAAATGCACTTTTTTTTCCTTGTCCTCCCCAGACACACTGGAGAAACCATGCCTTGGAAGGAATATGGAAAGGGAATTTCTCTGTCATGCTCACTTAGTCTACTGTTTTCAGTTGGCTGAAGTTTGTTCCATGGGGAGTAACTGCCCCCACCACTCTACTTCCAGGATGCATCATTTAAGTCCTCCCAGCAGCCAGTAGAAAGCCAGTGCCTGCCTTGCTCAGTGCAATGTTTCACTGGAGTCCAGAAGTGGTAGAAAGAGCTAGAGATTCTAGAAATGCAACTGGTCAGCCCCAGGCAGAGCAAGGGACTATGGGTCCACACTTGATCTTAGTCAAAAGGCCGAGAAGCGATGGGACTATGGGTCCAGAAAGTAAACAAGGCCAAGGAAATCTGAGGAAGCACATAAAATGTATCCATTACACAGACATAAATACCTGAACATATAAATTAAAATGTTAAGAGTTAAATAATAAGACTACAGTAAAAACCACTATCAGTAGGCAATACATGATTAGGTGAGTTCAGAGGAGGGTTATCACTGTGTGATTGAAGATTGAGGACTACTTCCTGGAGGAAGCACATTGAATTGATCCTTCAAGTAGGCAAAGCACCAAAGTAACTCATGAGTTAAGATTTCAAACTATGGCCTGAAAGCACAAGATCTGGATGCTAGCGACTAGATCATAGTTGAATGTTTGAAAGGATAATGGGGGGGGCACCTGGGTGGCTCAGTTGTCAGGCGTCTGCCTTCGGCTCAGGTCATGATCTCAGGGTCCTGGGATCGAGCCCCACATCAGGCTCCCTGCTCAGCCGGAAGCCTGCTTCTCCCTCTCCCACTCCCCCTGCTTGTGTTCCCTCTCTCACTGTGTCTCTCTCTGTTAAATAAATAAAATATTTTTAAAAAAATAAAAGGATAATGGGAGGGGGCTTCTGGGTGGCTCAGTCTGTTGGGTGTCCGTCTCTTGGTTTTAGCTCAGGTCATGATCTTGGGGACATGGGATCCAGCCTCAAATCTGGCTCCACACTCAGCACAGAGTCTGCTTGAGTTTCTCTCCCTCTCCCTGTGCCCCTCTCCACTGCGCTCATGCTCTCTCTCTCTCTCAAATAAACCTTAAAAAAAAAAAGAAAGAATAAAGGGGGGTTCCACAGGGAAAAGAAGGTTGGGACCATATTAGGGAGCTGAAATTTTAGGCTAAAGTGTTGATATCATGGACAAGTGGATTGACAACAACAGGTTTCTGAATTCACATTAAAACAAAATGAAAGTTCCCAAAACTCTCTACCAAGGGCCCACACATCCTTGGTTTATCTCCATCTGAAACCATCTGGCCAACCTGAATGGTCTCAGCAAACCCAAAAGACCTTAAAGACTGTATTCACACAGTGATTTTCTTCTCTTCCTCCACATCTATGTAACATTTCCTCAAAAACTCAGGCCTCGGTTTTTTTTCAGGTTGTTTTTTTTCTTTTCTTTTCCTTTCCTTTTCTTTTGGTTTTGTTGTTTAAAAATTTTTTCTTATTGTGGTAAAATACATATAACAAAATTTAACACCTTAACAATTTTTAAGTGGACAGTTCAGTGTATTATATACATTCATAATATTGTGCAACCATTACTACCATCCATCTGAAAACAAACTCTGTACCCATTAAACAGTAACTCTCCCAGCCCCTGGCAACGATCATTCTATTTTCTGCCTCTTGGTTTGGTTCTTAAGTACTAGGGATCAATCTATTTCGTTCCTGTGGTTTTTCTAGCCAAAACCTACTTTTCTTTTTTTTTAATTTTTAAGTAATCTTTACACCCAGCGTGGGGCCCAAGATCACATGAGATCAAGAGTCGCATGCTCGGGCACCTGGGTGGCTCAGTTGGTTAAGCGACTGCCTTCGGCTCAGGTCATGATCCTGGAGTCCCTGGATCGAGTCCTGCATCGGGCTCCCTGCTTGGCGGGGAGCCTGCTTCTCCCTCTCCCACTCCCCCCTGCTTGTGTTCCCTCTCTTGCTGTGTCTTTCTCTGTCAAATAAATAAATAAAATCTTAAAAGAAAAAAAAAAAAGAGTCGCATGCTCTACCAACTGAGCCAGCCAGGTGTCCCAAAACCTACTTTTTTCATAGAATTCAAAATGGTAGGATCAGGTGTCAGCACAAGAACTTAGTATCAAAGTGGAAAAACTTATTTCAGAATGCATAAAATGTTAAAATACTTTTTACCTCCTTTGTAATTTTGATTGTTCTAGATTGAAATTTAATAATACAGGAGTACACCATAAATGATGCACATGACAGCTAAGCCCCAGGATCGAGGCAGCCCTGTAGTTTGTTTTCCAAGCCCTATGAAACTGCTATAGAAATGAATGGATGGGGGCACCTGGGTGGCTCAGTCATTAAGCATCTGCCTTCAGCTCAGGTCATGATCCCAAGATCCTGGGATCGAGCCCCACATTGGGCTCCCTGCTCTGCGGGAAGCCTGCTTCTCCCTCTCCCACTCCCCCTGCTTGTGTTCCTGCTCTCGCTATCTCTCTCTCTGTCAAATAAATAAACAAAATATATATATATTTTTAAAGATTTTATTTATTTATTTGAGACAGAGAGAATGAGAGAGAGAGAGCACATGAGAGGGGGGAGGGTCAGAGGGAGAAGCAGGCTCCCTGCCGAGCAGGGAGCCCGATGCGGGACTCGATCCAGGGACTCCAGGATCATGACCTGAGCCGAAAGCAGTCGCTTAACCAACTGAGCCACCCAGGCGCCCTAAACAAAATATTTTTTTAAAAAATGAATGAATGGTTTAAAAGGATTATTCACCACGACCAAGTGGGATTTATTCCTGGGCGGCAAGGGTGGTTCAACATCCGCAAATCAATCAATGTGATACGCTACATAAATAAAAGAAAGGACAAGAACCATATGATATACTCTTAATAGATGCAGAAAAAGCATTTGACAAAGTACAGCATCCTTTCTTGATTAAAACTCTCCACTGGGGGCACCTGGGTGGCTCAGTTGTTAGTTAAGTGTCTGCCTTCGGCTCAAGTCATGATCCCAGGGTCCTGGGATCGAGCCCCGTGTCGGGCTCCCTGCTCGGCAGGAGGCCTGCTTCTCCCTCTCCCACTCCCCCTGCTTGTGTTCCTGCTCTCACTGTGTCTCTGTCAAATAAATAAATAAAATCTTAAAAAAAACCCAAAAAACTCTCCACTGTGTAGGGATAGAGGGTACATACCTCAAAATCATAAAAGCCATTTATGAAAAACCCACAGCGAATATCATTCTCAATAGGGAAAAACTAAGAGCTTTACCCCTATGGTCAGGAACATGGCAAGGATGTCCACTATCACCACTGCTGTTCAACATAGTATTAGAAGTCCTAGCCTCAGCAATCAGACAACAAAAAGAAATAAAAGGCATCTGAATCGGCAAAGAAGTCAAACTCTCACTCTGCAGATGACATGATACTCTATGTGGAAAACCCAAAAGACTCCACCCCAAAATTGCTAGAACTCATACAGGAATTCAGCAAAGTGGCAAGATATAAAAATCAGTTGCATTTCTATACACCAAAAATGAGACAGAAAAAAGAGAAATTAAGGAGTTTCTCTCCCATTTACAATTGCACCCAAAACCATAAGACACCTAGGAATAAACCTAACCAAAGAGGGAAAGGATCTATACTCAGAAAATATAGAACACTCATGAAAAAAATTGAGAAAGACAAAGAAATGAAAAACATTCCATGAAAAAAAAAAAAAACATTCCATGCTCATGGATTGGAAGAACAAATATTGTTAAAATGTCTATGCTACCTAGAGCAATCTACACATTCAATGCAATCCCTGTCAAAATACCATCCACTTTTTTCACAGAACTGGAACAAATAATCCTAAAATTTGTATGGAACCAGAAAAGACCCCGAATAGCCAGAGGAATGTTGAAAAAGAAAAGCAAAGCTGGAGGTACCACAATTCTGGACTTCCAGCTCTATTACAAAGCTGTCATCATCAAGAAAGTATGGTACTGGCACAAAAACAGGAACATAGATCAATGGAACAGAATAGAGAGCCCAGAAATGGACCCTCAACTCAATGGTCAACTCATCTTCGACAAAGCAGGAAAGAATGTCCAATGGAAAAAAGTCTCTTCAACAAATGGTGTTGGGAAAATTGGACAGCCACATGCAGAAGAATGAAACTGGACCATTTCCTTACACTATACACAAAAATAGACTCAAAATGGATGAAAGACCTCAATGTGAGACAGGAATACATCAAAATCCTTGAGATGAACACAGGCAGCAACCTCTTCAACCTCGGCTACAGCAACTTCTTGCTAGACACGTCACCAAAGGCAAGGGAAACAAAAGCAAAAATGAACGATTGGGACTTCATCAAGATAAAAAGCTTTTGCCAAGGAAAGGAAACAGTCAACAAAATCAAAAGACAACCAACAGAACGGGGGAAGATATTTGCAAATGACATATCAGATAAAGGACTAGTATCCAAAATCTGTAAAGAACTTATCAAACTCAACACCCAAAGAACAAATAATCCAATCAAGAAATGGGTAGAGGACATGAACAGACATTCTTTTTTTTTTTTTTTAAAGATTTTATTTATTCATTTGAGACACAGAGATACCGAGAGAGAGAGCATGAGCAGGGGGAGAGGCAGAAGGAGAGGGAGAAGCAGGCTCCCCGCTGAGCAAGGAGCCCAATGCAGGACTCAATCCCAGGACCCTGGGATCATGACCTGAGCTGAAGGCAGACACTTAACCATCTGAGCCACCCAGGCGCCCCATGAACAGACATTTCTGCAAAGAAAATATCCAAATGGCTAACAGACACATGAAAGTGCACAACATCACTCGGTATCAGGGAAATACAGATCAAAACCTCAATGAGAAACTACCTCATATTGGTCAGAATGGCTAACCTTAACAAGTCAGGAAACGACAGATGTTGGCAAAGATGCGGAGAAAGGGGAACCCTCCTACACTGTTGGTGGGAATGCAAGCTGGTGCAGCCACTCTGGAAAACAGTATGGAGGTTCCTCAAAAGGTTAAAAATAGAACTACCCTAGGACCCAGCAATTGCACTACTGGGTATTTACCCCAAAGATACAAATGTAGTGATCTGAAGGGGCACCTGCACCCCAATGTTTATAGCAGCAATGTCCATAATAGCCAAACTATGGAAAGAGCCTAGATGTCCATCAACAGATGAATGGGTAAAGAAGATGTGGTGATATATATACAATGGAATATATATATATAATGGAATGTTACGCAGCCATCAAAAATGAAATCTTGTCATTTGCAAGGACGTGGATGGAACTAGAGGGTATTATGCTAAGCGAAATAAGTCAATCAGAGAAAGACAATCATCATATAATCTCACTGATATATGGAATTTAAGAAACAAGGCAGAGGATCATACAGGGAGAGAGGAAAAAATGAAAAAAGATGAAACCAGAGAGGGAGACAAACCATAAGAGACTCTAAATCTTAGGAAGCAAACTGAGGATTGCTGGAGGGGAGGGCAGTGGGGGAATGGGGTGGCTGGGTGATAGACACTGGGGACGGTATGTGTTGTAATGAGCACTGGGTATTATATAAGACTGATGAATCACAGACCTGTACCCCTGAAACAAATATTTAAAAAATTAATAACATGATTTAAAAAATAAAAATAAAGAAGAAATGAATGGATGGAAATTAAGATGGACACACTAATGCTTCAGCAAATCTTGACTTTAAACTGCACGAATTGTTCTCTTCCTCATTCTTGAGGCCTCCCCTCCCTTTCACTTGTTTTTCTGTAGAACCTTTTGTTCCAAGAACTGGGTGATGTAGATACTTAGTAATGAGACTTGGATGGCCCATGGCAGCGCTAGTCCTGAGACCACCTTGAAAACATAAGAAACGTGGGGACAGCACGTACCAGATTCCTGTCGAAACTGCCCAGATCCTGTAATGCCTACCGAATCCCTCAACCTTTTGCCCTGGGCGGGCTTGCAGTCTTGGAGGCATCAGCCTGCTGCAGCCTCCTTCGCCCGGCGAAGCAATAAACTATCTTCCTTCTTTATACCCAAGCTCTGTCTTTGCCTTACGAATTTCGGCCCCGGAACACAAGAAGTCAGTTTTGGACAACACTTAGAAGGGAAGGCAATCCTAAAACAACCTATCCCTAGGCCTCAGACTTCAGAAGGGGTGTGTCAGAGAAGGCACGGGCAGTGCGTGTTAAACTGTATCAAGTTTGCGAATTCTCTGGCCACATCCTTTCTAGGAGATCAACCTAGGAGATGCTTCCTAAGAACTCTAGAAAGCGACCTAAGAGGTTTGGTACAAGATAGCAGAAACAGAATAGTAGCCTGAGGACTAGAATTTTAAGAAGAGGGAAGAATTTTTAAAATTTCTGTTTGGTCTTTAATTTGCCTCGAGGCTTCCCTTTTTCTGCCAGAGATGATCCTCACGACACTCAGGAGTTTCCGCAGCGGAAGGCACTGCAACGCGAGGGGAGGGCCCTCCACCCGGCAGGGGGCGGGCCGGGGCGGGGCGGGCGGCGCTCACAGGACCCGGAAGTCCCGCCCCGCCGAACGTCAGCTGTGTCGGCCCTTGCGTCGTTCTCTGGGTGGGAGGGGCCGTTTGGGTGGGCAGTTGTGACGTCGCTAGACTTGTCGGGTTGCTACGGCACCACTGCTAAGATTAGGAATTTTTGGCGGACCTAAGGAAGGGGACTGTGGGCTCAGAGCGCCGGTAAACGGCTCCAGGTGCACGAAAGCTGGAATGTGGGGGCTCGCGTGCTGCCGCCACAACAACGGTAAAACGGAAGTCCTGCTCCCGCGCAGCTCGGCGTCCGGGCGGAAACAGCGTTCTTCTCGGAGCTGAGGCCCCGAAGCTTCGGGCCTGGGCGGCCTCGGGCTTGGCTGCCGGGAGCTAAGGGAGCACCCTCAGCTGGTAAGAGGGAGGAGGGGACTTGGCGCGTACCTCCCGCCGCGCGGGAGAGCTGGAGCGCACTGCCAGCCTTGCCACAACGGTTGTGTTAATGCCTCGGAGCAGCCTAGGTCTCCCGACGGAAAGGTTCGTTTCCTTACCCGACATTTGTCTTAAACATGGATAAATACGCCGCCTTCCAGAGTAGTCCTGTTTCCCTGGATCGCAGAGCGCCTTTTTGCTTCAAGACGTTATGTGATGCTCCCAGTCTCTGAATTCTGATACGCTGCTGGGCATAATATTAAACACAAAGGTGTTTATTTCCTTTCTTCGTAGTTGGGCCGGAAATAAGATTCTCTCTCTTTCAGGTATTGATGTTGAGCATGCCTTTTTAGCATATTAAAATGGCTGTACCCCAAACCGCCATCCCCTCCTTGTCGGAATGCCAGTGCCGCATCTGTGTGGAAATCCTAATCGAGCCCGTAACACTGCCTTGTAACCACACGCTCTGTAACCCATGCTTCCAATCGACTGTCGAAAAGGCGAGTTTATGCTGTCCCTTCTGTCGCCGCCGGGTCTCTTCGTGGACCCGATACCATACCCGAAGAAATTCTCTTGTCAACATGGAACTGTGGGAATTAATCCAAAAACACTATCCAAAGGAATGCAAGCTTAGAGTTTCTGGGCAGGAGTCAGAGGAAATCGGTGAGTAAAACCCAGCGTGCGTGTTGTCTGAAAAATCAAAATCCTTTAAAAAGTGAATCACCACTAATCCATTTTCGGAAAGGATAAAAAGCCGATTAATACTTGTCTAAATTTTTCTCGGGGATTTGGGTTTTATGGGCCCCAACATGTTGATTGAGGTCGATGGTAACATTTTGTTCATTGTTAGAATGCCCAGGCTGTGTTCAGTTGTTTGTTGGGTTGAAAATGACAACAAAGAAACAAACCCAGAAGAATGGCCCACATGGAGCCTTCAGTCATGGGAAAGTTATATAAATATTCACAGATAAGCAGTAGTCAGTAGAGCAACCCCAGAAGTACAAAAAGCACTGGATTCCTGTATTACTGAACTCCATAAAGAACTGTCAGTTCTTTTCTTTTTTTTAAAAGATTTTATTTATTTATTTATTTATTTATTTACTTACACACAGAACACAGGCAGGGGGAGCAGCAGGCAGAGGGAGAGGAAGAAGCAGGCTCCGTGCAGAGCAGGGGGAGCCTGATGTGGGACTTGATCCCAGGACCCCGGGACCATGACCCGAGCTGAAGGCAGTGGCTTATCCAGCTGAGCCACCCAGAAGCCCCAGTTATTTCCTTAACTTACTTGATTACAGCACTACATCTCCATTCATTTAATTCTTCCCTTAAGCATGCAGTGAACCTCAACTAGCTTTCAGTGACCAGTTCCATCTAGTTCAGTTATTCTTATTTAAAGCCCTCCACCCTGTAGACTCAGCAGCTATTCACTGTGCCCCATACTGAACACTTGACTCTAGCACACTTAATGTGATCAATAAGCCACGCAGTGTTTCTTGTCTAGGCTTTGAATATGGTGCCTGTGCTCTGGTGTACCTGCCTTTTTTTGGGAATTACTTTTATTGTGCTAAATATATATAACATACTTGCCATTTAATGATGTTTTCAACAGTAGTTACACTTTATTAAAACTGCTTTATTGATATCTGCACATAGAATTGATACATTTTAAGTGTACAGTTCACTGGTTTTGGTATTTCACATCATTAGGTTTTTCAGAATTGTAAAATATATATAGCATAAATTTTTTTTTTTTTTAAGATTTATTTATTTGACAGAGAGATAGAGAAGGCACACAAGCAGGGAGAGTGGGAGAATGAGAAGCAGGCTTCCCGCGGAGCAGGGAGCCCGATGTGGGGCTCGATCCCGGGACCCCGGGATCATGACCTGAGCCGAAGGCAGACGCCCAACGACTAAGCCATCCAGGCGCTCTTATATAGCATAAAAATTGCCATTTTAACCTTTTAAGTGCACAATTCAATGGCAGTAATTATATTCACAATGTACAACCATCATCACTATGTTTCCAAAACTTTTTTTTTTTAAGATTTTATTTATTTACTTGAGAGAGAGCATGCATGGGGCGGGGGGAGGGTGGCAGAGAGGGAGAGGGAGAAGCAGAGTCCTCGCTGAGCAGGGATCCTGGTGCAGGACTCCATCCCAGGACCTTGGGATCATGACCTGAGCTGAAGGCAGACGCTTAACCGACTGAGCCACCCAGGCATTCCTCATATGGTAATTCTATGTTTAACTTTTTGAGGAACTGCCAAACTTTTCCACGGGGCTGTGCCATTCTGCATTCCCACCTGCAATGTATAATGGTTCCAGTTTCTCCACATCCTCACCAACACTTATCTTCTGGTTTTTTGGTGTTTTTTATTTTTATTTTTAAAATAGCCATCCTAGTAGGTGTGAAGTGGTATCTTAGTATCTGTGTCTTTTTAATTTATTATTTTTAATTTATTTTTCTAGTGTCTGTGTCTTTTTAATTGTGGTAGAGTATGCATCACAAAATTTACCATTTCCACTGTTTTTAAGCGTACAGTTCAGTGGCATTAAGTATAGTCACACAGGTGTACAATCATCACCACCATCCTTCTCCAGAACTCTTTACATCTTCCCAAACTGAAACTCCATACCCATTAAATAGTAACTCTCCAGTTCCTTCTCCCTCCAGCCCTTTTAACCACCATTCTACTTCCTGTTTCCATGAATTTGACCACTTTAGGTATCTCATATAAGCAGAATCATAGTATTTGTCCTTTTGTGTCTGGCTTATTTCACTTAGATGTCTTTAAGGTTCATCCATATTGTAGCATGTGTTAGAATTTCATTCCTTTCTGGGGCGCCTGGGTGGCTCAGTTGGTTAAGCATCCAGCCCTTGATCTCAGCTCAGGTCTTGATCTCAGGGTCATGAGTTCAAGCCCCTCGTTGGGCTCCATGCCCAGCATGGTGCCTACTTAAAAAAAAAAAAAAGAGTTTCGTTCTTTTCTATGGCTGAATATTCCCTTGAATGTATTTACCACATTTTGTTTATTAGTGGACACTTGGGTTACTTATACCTTCTGGCTATTGTGAGTAATGCTGCTGTGAACAGTGGTGTACAAGTATTTTTTTGAGTTCCTGTTTTCAACTTCTTTGAGTATGTACCCAGAAGGGAATTGCTGGATCATATGCTAATTCTATGGGGGTTTTTTGAGGGACTGCCGTACTCTTACATTACCACCAGCAATGTGCAAGGACTCCATTCTTCCATATCCTTGTCAGTACTTGTTACTTTCTTACTTTCTGGGTTTTGCTTTTTTTTTTTTTTTTTAAAGATTTTATTTATTTATCTGAGAGAAAGAGCGTGAGAGAGCACAAGCAGTGGGAGCAGCAGAGGGAGAGGGAGAAGCAGGCTCCCTGCTGAGCAGGGAGCCAGACATGGGGCTTGATCCCAGGACACTGGGATCATGACCTGAGCTGAAAGCAGACGCTTAACCCACTGAGCCACCCAGGCACCCCTGTTTTGTTTTTTTTTAATGGAGCCATCCTAATAGGTATGAGATGCTGTCTCATTGTGGTTTTGATTTGTATTTCCCTAATGACTAATGATGTTGAACATCTTTTCATGTGTTTTTTTTGCCATTTGTATATTTTCTTTGGAGAAATGTTTATTCAAGTCTTTTTCTGCTCATTTTTTAATTGGGTTATTTGGTTTTTTGTTATTGTTGAGTTGTTGGTGTTCTTTATATATTCTAGATGTTAACTCCTTATCAGATATGATTTGAAATATTTTCTCCCATACCATAGGTTGACATTTCACTCTGCTGATTGTGTCCTTTGCTGCACAGTAGTTTCTAAGTTTGATGTAGTCCTATTTGTCTATTTTTGCTTTTGTTGCTTGTGCTTTTGGTGTCATATCCAAGAAATCTTTGCTAAATTTCAATGTCATGAAGCTTTTTTCCTGTTTTCTTCTAGGAACTTTATAGGTCTTATATTTAGGTCTTCAATTCATTTTGAGTTAATTTTTTAAATATGGTATGGGGTAAGGGTCCAACTTCATTTTTTTACATGTAGATACCCAGTTTTCCCAGTGCCATTTGTTGATAAAATGGCTGTTTTAAAGTTTTTAGGTAGTAAATCTGATGTCTGGACCTCCTCAAAAATGGTTTCTATTAGTTTATTTTGTTCCTTTGAATTGTCCATACTTTCTTGTTTCTTTGCCTTGTGTTTTTTTTTTTTTTTGAGAAAATTGGACATTTTTTTTGTTTTTTTTTAAAGATTTTATTTATTTATTTGAGAGAGAGAATGAGATAGAGGGAGCATGAGAGGGGGGAGGGTCAGAGAGAGAAGCAGACTCCCCGCTGAACAGGGAGCCTGATGCGGGACTCGATCCTGGGACTCCAGGATCATGACCTGAGCTGAAGGCAGTCGCTTAACCAACTGAGCCACCCAGGCGCCCGAAAATTGGACATTTGACTGTAACAGTGTGGTGATACTGTAGGTCAGTCTTCCCTTTCCCCAGAATTTACCTTTTTTTTCTTAAAGATTTAATTTATTTATTTGTCAGAGAGAGAGAGCATACAAGCGGGGGGGGGGGGCGGGGAGTGGCAGGCAGAGGGAGAAGCAGGCTCCCCACTGAGCAAGGAGCCCGATGTGGGGCTCCATCCCAGGATCCTGGGATCATAACCAGAGCCGAAGGCAGACACTTAATGAACTGAGCCATCCAGGCATCCCAGTTTACCATTTTTTTTTTTTTTAGATTGTTGAAGGCTGTAATAGTCCATTTGTTTACTAACTTTGCCAAACTATTTTTGTAAAGACTATATGCCTTGTTGTATGTGGTCATCTGTGTCTCTGTGCTTTAGCTTGTTTTCAGTTAGCATTTTGACAGATTTCCTTGCATGTCAGGAGCTAAAAAAAAAACAACAAGAAACAAAAAAAAGCACCTTTTTGTCTTGGAACATTGGTTCAGTGCGGAGGCAGTCCTTCAGTTCTTAGCCAGACTTGCACTGAGCCTAGGGAATCAGCCCAAGGTGAAAGTTTGGGGGTCTTGTGTGTTTTTGGAGCTTGTGTCTTCCCTGGGTATGCTCCACCCCCTCCAGAACCGGTGTCCCATTCTCAGAATGTAGATATCCTTCAAGACTGCCACTACACTGAGGAGGAGGTGGGCAAGAGTAAAAATGCCACAAAACTTTCCTACTATTTTGAAGTTGCCTTTTTCTTGCTTCACTATTTTCTTGGTTGCTGTAAACCTTTGTTTTCCAAAGTTCTGACAATGTTGGCTCTGATAGTTTCTGCTTGGTTTTTCTTATTTCTATGGAGGGATGAGAGCTTGGAGCTGCCTGCTCTGCCATTTTGCTGACAGCTCTCCATCAGCCTTCTCTTAAGTGCTTATCACTGACATTTGTGTTATTTTCTCTTTTTTTTTAATAAAGATTTAATTTATTTATTTGAGAAAGAAAGGGGAAAAAAACCACGAGAGTAGGGGAGGGGCAGAAGGAGAGGAAGAAGCGGGCTCCATCCCAGGATCCTGAGATCATGACCTGAGCTAAAGGCAGACGCTTAACCAACTGAGTCACCCAGGTCAGGTGCCCAAACTGGTGTTATGCTTGGACTTCTCCACATTCGGTTCTAAATAAACCTATTTTCTTTGCGGGAGATCTTTGGAGCTCTCAGTTCTT